GGGGGCCGATTCTACTTGTCCCTCATGACAATCTACTTGTCGCAATACAAAAAATTTTTTTTTAACCAAAAGGGTATTTAGCAGTGCTAAGAAGGAAATTGGTCAGTGTCGTCAGGTGACCGCGTTGACCAACGAGTGCTTGCAATTTGCCAGCGCAATTCAGAATACATGGAACAGGTACAGATAGTACACCCGTACTGGTGGACGGGAAGGATCGTTTGCCGAAAGGTAAGTATAGTGGGAGGGAGATTTGTGCAGATAATTCCATTTTCCCAAATTACTTGGGAAAGTGAATATACCCTTTAGGGTTGGTGCAGACTCAGGGATTCCCAGGACGTGCGATCGTGTGCGGTTACATCCGCATGCATGGGGTTACATCTGCTGAATCGCTGGCAATCGCTGAAAAAAAGGTTCGATGTACCTATTTTCATGACATGCACCGCGCAGTGTTTTCAACCGTGATCGTGTGGGATTGCCCGACAAGTATTGCAGCAGGAAAATGCGCAATCTGCCTGGCACGACTGGGGTGCCATTAGAAAATAATGGCACTGACAGCGCGATCAGCGGTGGTGTGCGATTCCGTGACCACCCAGCCATCCGCTCGGTTTCGTGCACGATCACCAGGCAGTCACGGATCGCACACCACTGCCGATTGTGCTGTCAGTGCCATTATTTTCTAATGGCACCCCAGTCATGCCAGGCAGATTGCGCATTTCCCTGCTGCAATACCGCCCTGCCTGTGCGGTTGCACACGATCGCAGTTGAAAACACTGATTTTTATTTACTTTGTAAAAAAAATTTATTTGTTTTATTATTTTTACTTTATCGTCTTTTTATTTTTTACATTTTTATTTCGTTAAATTTATAATTATTATTTTTTCTAACAATTTTTTTTAAAACTTAAACTGTATTGCCATCACACAGGGGTTAACAACCTCTGTGTGATAGCATTTGGAGGCGACAGGTTCTCTTTATTGACCCTGTCACCTCCAACACAGGAGTTCTAGCAGGCACTGTTGCTAGAACTCCTGTGACAGGAACGAGCAGCGGCTACCGAGGACAGAGGCTGAGTGAGGTGACAGAGCCTGTCACTACTCCACGCACCCCGCTCTGTCCCCGCCCCCTGCTCTCAGCGATCTGTCCCCGCTCTCAGCATTCCACGCTCCGTCCCCGCCCTCGGCACTCCACGCTACGTCCACACCTACAAACCCCCCCGCAGCGCCGCTCTCGGCGCTGATTTAAGAAAAAGAAAACCAGCCCTGCTACTTGTCCGTAGCAGGGCTCAAACAGTGAAAAAAACACTTGCCCGGCGCCCGGAACTACATGTGCCGGGCATCAGGCGATACGAATTCCACACCCCTGGTGTGTGTTTGTGTGTGTGTTTGGCTCTAGTAGTTCCCATATCCCTGTATATTTAAGAACTCAAGAAACTCATCTAAATGTTTCTTGAATTTGTCAATGCTATCAGCAGATACTACTCACTGTGGAAGGGAATTGCACATTTAACCTGCGAAGTCTGAGATTAAACCTCCTCTCTTCTAATCTCTTGCTGTGTCCTCATGTCATTACTATAGTTCTTGGTGTAAACATCCTATTCCGAATATTGTTGTCCCCATTTATGATTTTGAAAATTGCAATTAGGTCCCCCCTCAAACGCCTCTTTTCTAAGGAGAACAAGTTTCATTTCTTGAGGCGATCTTCATAGCTCAGGCCTTCCATCCCCTTTATTTATTTAATCAGCCAATCACATGGCAGTAACTCAATATATTTAGACATGTAGACATGGTCAAGATGGTCTGCTGAAGTTCAAACCGAGCATCAGAATGGGGAAGAAAGGCAGTGAGATAAGAGCGGTCAATCAAGAATCCATCTTTTTTGCAGAGCGTGGTCAGGAATGAAGAGAAGTGAACTGTCAATGTCTGTATCTCAGTTTCTTCATGACGCAGAAGCATAAAAAGCAACATACATTGTGGGAATTAGGTGACAGAGCTATGGAAAAAAAGGTGAAACAACTTCTTTAAAGAATCTAGAGAGTATTTGAACAGTTGTCCATCTACCAGTGTCATTTTCCTTAGAAGGCACACTGCGAGTCTCCCCCGGAAATCTTAGTGGATCGTAATCTGGCAAGGCCCGTAGGGCATAAGTATGCAAGCAAAGGGTTCCCACAAGGGCTATTTACAAGAACACTTCTGGAGCAGGAAGGGTCAATGACATCTGTGACTTGTCACTGGGGACAGCAGGGAGCCCAAATAAACATCCTGGAGGATCGTGGTGTGGGTGATTCTAAGAGGTCTTGTGGTCCCCAAGACCAATTAGGCAGGATCCAGGGAGCATGCGCCATCCAAATAGTGTTCGCTGAATTACCATTCTGTATCCTTTAGCTTACAATTTAAAAAGTCTGATAACATAAGAAAAAACATTTGCATATCATCAGGTGAAGGCCATCAGGTGAAGGCTCAATAGATCAGGAAGTGAGCGAACGCATACCGTTGCTCGCTCACTTCTCGATTATCTCCCTGCAGAGAGAGGTGACTGTCAGTCACGGCTCCCCGCAAGGATTCCCCCCCTCCCCTCTCCGATCCTCCAGCGCTGACTGGAGGAATGGATGGGGGAGGGCACAGCTGGCTCTGCCTCTAGAAAGGCAGAGCCATCTGTCACTCACGCAGCTGGGTGGATCTCAACAGCATTGTCGGGATCCGTCCCGGCTGCGGCGGTCTCAGTATACCCTGAGCTGTAGCTCGCAATATACTGAGCTTTGGGTCACAGGAGGACGCTAGTATATGTCCTACCGTGACCCTTAAGAGAACTATGGGGAAAAACACTTACCCCATAGTCCCTTTTTACTGAGACATCATGAGGCAGAATCCAGTAAGAAGAGTAGTTACATAACATAGTATGTAAACCACAAAATATATCTCATACAGAGTCATAGTATACAGATCAGACTAGACTTTTCCAATGTGCAAAAACACGTGAAGAACAGTTATTAGACACACATCACAGGGGACTGAACATGTCTCCTTGCAAGGGGGCTGCGTTGGGAATCAACTCTTACACAAAAAGTCACATTTGTTAGTAAGTTCAACAGCATATTGCAAGCCAATAAAAAAATTATTTTAGAAAGCAAAAAAGGGGGTTTAAAAATACTTATTTTTTGTGAATTTACCTGAAATAAAAAAATTAAAAGGTGGTGCACAGGGAATGGGGATGTTGCAGGCAAGTTTTTTTTTTTTTAAAGATGGGCTTTAATTATTATTCTAGTTAGCCTTTAACTACACAACAAATGCAAGATGATCAAACAACATATCTTCAATCAAATAAAAAAATGTGGCGTCATCGAACTAAAAATTCAAACTGCATCTTAAAGAATACATTGCTGCAAAACAGATAAATGTTTGACCAGCAATGGCGGTAAGGCAACATTGTAAATTGCGATCAGTTAAAAGGCCATTATCTATGGGACATGTAATAGTATTCATTACTGCCGCATTCTGCCAGAAATTATCGATAATATCCTACAGCACTGTTCCTGGCAGGTCTGAGCACGCGACCCAATTAAAATGCATCTCGCAAACCCATATCCGCGGGATTATATAAATGTAAATGAACGGACAGACGTGACTCGGCGCCGTGCAATGTCGGGCTGCTGCGCTGATATGGTCGAAGCAAACACAATCGGTCAAGGAGAAAAGCACATTGTGATCACTCAGCCAGAAAACCAATTACCGCTTCATCAAACATATATTGCTTTTTCAGACAGAGGCCAGGGTATTTGTTTTCTTATTTAACACCCAGAAGGACATCAGCAATATGATTTGGCAGGACTAGAGTTAACACAGCCAGTGAATTCAATTAAAGCTGAACTCAAGGTATAAAAGACACATTCAATAATTCTCTGCATTCAATAACACATCAGTCATTTTTTTTTTTTTTTAAATGCAAACAGCAAAAATACCTGAATGTAACTTTGTATTATCCTACTGTGGTCCCTGTACAGCAGAGCTCAGACTGGGAGAGGGATAAGCAGCACATGTAGCTTATCAGCTGCACTGCAGTGCTAATTTGCTAACAAAAGACATGCTTGCGGAAGGAGGGAGCAGACTGACAGAAAGATGAGCTCCTTAGGCCTCGTTCACACCAGATGTAGTGTGTTCCGGCCCGATTCTGGCCAGAACTCACTGTATCGCATTGCGGCAGGCTCACTTTTTTGTGGGGCAGAAGGGGGCGTGGCTACAGTGCCATTCACTTCAATGGCCTGCCACGCCCCCTTCTGCCGCAAGGTACATTATGCCTGTGGTCCGGTCCGATCAAAATAGTGCTTGCAGCATTTTGATCGCACCAGACCACAGGCATAATGTGCCTTGCGATCCCATGCGGCTGATCGCGTTGTGGCCGGAGGGCGTGGCTACGGTGTCATTCACTTCAATAGCCCGCCACGCCCCCTCCTGCCCCTCAAAAAAATGAGCCGGCCGCAATGCGATGCAGTGTGTTCTGGACAGAATGGGGCTGGAACGCACTGCATCTGGTGTGAATGAGGCCTTAGTCTGCTGCTTCTCCATTCACTATCCAGTTACAGGCTAATGGGAGAGAAAAGGCCTGTGTTACTTAACTGAAAAAGAGAAAAATCAGGTCTCCTACTCTGCGAGACGGGGTTTGTGCTGTATATGAGAGCTGTGTAAATATCAAGACTGGATAGAAAGTACAAAATGGCAGGTAAAACGTCTCCAATCTGTGTGTGTAGCTTTTGTGCCTGGAGTTTAACTTTAAAAGGTTCTTCAGGATATACATGTGATGAATGGATGTGATCAGTTTGATGTAGATACACTTATCAATTTATAATCATGCTTTAAATCTTGTTTCCGTGCAGTTAGTAATGTTTTCTGTACACAGGGAGCAGCCATGCTTGCAATATACACATGTAGGCTCTGCTTCCTGCTGAGTCTACGTACCCTATAAGAACAGAAGAGAAGAACATTGCTTAGATTAGTCAGGTGACTCACCTGGGCTCCGGTGACCTGTGAACTGTACATGCTGGTAATGGTGTCTATCAGGTTATGAGCCTCATCAATAATCATCACCTGATCCTTCAACTTAATGCCAGAGGCGCACCGCGTGGAGTCATGGAGCAGCATTTGGTAAGGTAATACAACCAGCTGGAAAGCCACAGGAATTGCAATCATTAAGCATCCACTTTGTACAAACAGGCGCTATTTATTACAAACGCAACATACTAACATGCAAAAACGACATAACTATGCCAAGCTTAGCCATAGATTACCCAATCCCAACAAGTCATGTGTCAGTCTGAGCTAACAACAATGGGGGATGGAGCACTGTGGCCAGTGTATGGCTAGCCTAGCTAGCCAGGGCAAATGGTGTCTCCACTCCTTTCCTACACATACTGTATACACTGGAAGCAATTTGGGGGGGCTATAAAGCCGTCTGATCACTTCCAGGGGCCGGTAAACTTGTGCCCCCACCGAACACCCCCTGCCTTGCTTTGTGGGCATCGGCGGGTACAGTAGAGAGAAACCAGCGAATCTCCGTTTGCTGATCTCCTCCCTGCTGAATAAAACTTGAAGTTGCGATGATTTAATCACTTCCAGTTTCTGAGTTGTCATTCCGCAGCTAGAGAGGCCAGGGAAGAAGCTGATCAACCACAATCTGTGCTTGATCAGCTTCAAAGGGGGCTTGTGAGCATCTTATATGATAGCAATGAAGTATAAAAAAAATATATATATTCCAAAACACCCCAAAAAAAACTTTCAAAGTGTCTCGTCCCCACGTACACGCACATAACGCAAACACGTGTTGAATGTGCCTACGTACGGAAACGAAGATTGTCCCACACGTTAGGTATCACCCCATGTGCCAGAGTGAGAGCAATATTTCTTGGGCCTATATTCATGGTTAACTCTAAATTGATGACCTGCACAGGCTTTTAAAGCATCACCTATGGACAATTTAGGGTACGGTAGTTTTTTGCCGTTTCACGGGCGAACGCAATTTTTAAGTTTGGCAAGCTGGGTGTCTATTCACTCGGCACAACCTCTCTTTTATATTTTACTAAAAAAAAAATGTGTATTATATTGTGTTTTTGTGCACTAAAATTACCTTAAGCATATTTTTAACTAAAATTTTGGGTTTGGTAAACAGTTGCGTTAATATCATGCGACATGAAAATTTACAACTGCCACCATTTTATTCTACAGGGTCTCTGAGGGCTTTAAGTAATTCTCAGGCCTAAAATGTGGATTTTAACATGTGTGCAAAAAATTCCAAACTGGCTCTGGTAGCGAAAATATAAAAAACAATCATTCTAGTAGACAGTGCTCCCACATCATAACTGGCTCACCTGGGCAGCTGGTATGGCAAAACGGCTGGCATAATAAGGGCAAGCTTTCACCTCTTGAGCCCGTGAGACAAGCTGTTCAATGTCCTTCACCTCTATAAGAATCTCATCCCGCAGGAACTGCATCTGCTCATAGGAATAGTATGGACAGGTCAGTCGGCTTTCCCGTTTCTTCTTCCCTGCAGACTCCTCTGTTTTTTTCTCTGAAAGGTATAGAGGGCAAAATCTTACTACGTCAAAGAGATCATGAACCTACCAGGACCTGGTCCAGCCAACAACAGACAATACAACAACTCAAACCTGAAAGGAAGTTTATGAAAATATAAATACTTAATTACACACTAAAACCTGCAAAGTGTCAGTGCCTCTTAATAGCTCATCCTCCAGCAAGGTATAGCCACCCATCCATGCTCTTTCCCTGCTGCAGGAGTCTACCCAGATGGATGACATAATGGTCCCCATATGATAGTGTTCGGGCCTGACGATTGGCCACCTAGGCCTGAGCAAAGTCACATAGAGGAGATCATATGCTCCCCATACCCTGAAGTGCAGCTCCCTGAGAACAATAGAGCAGAAAGATAGCCGGGGGAGCAGATTGACAAAAAAAAAAAGATTACTAATCCAGTCAGACGGGCAGTGAGTTCCATCTTTGCTTTCCTGCAGAGTTACAATGGCCAAAAAAATCTTAAGCATTTAACGCTTCAAGGTGTGTTGGATGCCTGCTACCGCCGACTGCGCTCTGTGGCTTCACCTGCCGTCTGTTACATCACTAGAGGACACAGCATCCAGCACACCCAAAATTTTGGATGTTAAAGGTCGGTTGCCCATAGTAGTTCCGTGGCCTCTAGCATTGCAAGTATTATTCAGCTTTTGAAGGGTGATTTTCATGGCAACAGAGTCTCTCTAAAAATCCAGTGTAAGCAGGAATGTGTTAGAATGTAAAACTCAATCCTGCCAAAACTAAAACTGCAGTACTGTGAATGAAAAAGCCCATAAAAACATTCCTGCAACTGCAGCTCTTTTTCCATCTACCAATAAGAATATTAAATGACGCCCATCTAAGCCACCTTCTAACAATGGTGAGAGCAATAAGGTGAATTTCCCAGGTCAATATGAAAAAACTATCTGTGCACTCAAGCAGAGTGAAGGGATAGAAAAGTCTGGGTTTGCAGGATCTTATCACAATTGGGTCTGTTTCATGGTTTAGTTCATTCTTCACACTCCTCAGAACTATACCGCCAGTACTAGTATAAACTCCTGTTTATTTTCCAGATAAGGATGTAAACAATTTCTTGTGCTCACCAAACCTCTATGCAATGCAACACATCAAAATAATATTAAACACTCACAGCAAGCTCCTTCCTATCTCTTACCTGTTGTGTCAATGTGCTAATATAAAACGTTTTACAGTCATCAATGAGATTCAGATTTTCCTTGGAAGTTTGAATCTAACTGATCATAAATCAGGCAAAGACTTCAGGAAACAGAGCAACTTACGCCACAAGTGAGGAACTCTGTGACCTGCCTGCATTGGTTTACAAAGAACTTAAACCTGATCTCAAAGCAAAAAAGTTAAATACAAAGACATGTACAGTACATACAAGAGAGTTGTTTTACCTGCCAAAAGATTTATATTTCAGTCTATTCAGTTGTGAGATTTACACAGCCCTGCCACACGGCATAGCCAGGTGGAGGATTCCACTTATAGTTAGGGATTGTCGTTATCACATGTCTATGTGTATCTAAAAAGCAGTGTGATTTAATGGCCACGGAATGCTACCTACTATGTTTGTTCTTCTGCATCTCCATACAGCGATCGTTGATCAGTTGCACCGTGCCCAAGCGCCGAACCTCATCATTGACACATGCGTTCTGTAGACAAACGAGGCATAGGTAAGAATTATGTCAACTCATTTGTATTAAGGGTCTTACTCTACTGATACTGGTTTCATCTCTCTTTTACAACAGAAAACTGGACCTTGTCAGCCGGTACCTGTTTTAACCCCTTCGTGACTGACGACGTACAGTGTACGTCGCCAGCATCGGGGCTGTTTAAACAGACTCCCGGCGACTTTTGCCGCCGGGACTCTGTTTAAACTTGTAGAGCCGACTGTCGGCTTTACAACAGAAGCGATCCTGGCGACTTACCTGTCGCCAGATCGCTTCTGCGTCCCGAAGAAGGGGCCCCCCCCCCCCCGCCGGACACCCCCGCCGTGCTTCCCGGGCTCCGTTGCCCCTCCTACGGGCCCGGGACCGGCGATCTTTGTGTCCGCGGGGAGCTGGGGAGGAGGTCGACGAACTTCCGTTCATCGATCCCCTCCCCGTTCTATGGGACCGGGAGCGATGCAGATTGCATCACTTCCGGTCCCTGGGCTGTCAGTTCTGGGCTCCTGCAGCCCAGCTATAAGCTATTGAAGTGCGATCTGCACTTCAATAGCTTATTTCCAGTGTAAAGGTGACACTGAGGGTCTTTTGGACCCCCAGCATCACCTTAAAGAGGACCTGTCACCACCATCTGCTATTACATGGGGGGGCTTGCAAGCCCCCCCATGTGATAGCAGTCAAAGTAAAGTAAAAAAAAAAAAAAAAACAGTTTTTAAAATTAAAATGAAATAAAATAAATCTAATAATAATAAAAAAAAATTTAAAAGTACCCCGCCCCCGCGAGCACGCGCGTCGCCACGTAAACACGCGTCGGGTGCGGCTACGCATGAAAACGACGAACGCGCTACACATGTTGGGTATCGCCGCGCACGCCGGAGTGAGAGCAATAATCCTAGGGCCAGTATTTTGGGGTATTTCTAAATTGATGACCTGTGGGGGCTTTTAAAGTGTCTTTTATTGACTTTTTGGGGTACTGCAGTTTTTCGCCGTTTCGCCGCAACTAAAATGTGAAATATAACATGGGTGCAAAAATTGAAAAAAGGGCCTCAGTCATGAAGGGGTTAAACAAGGATCTCTATGAGCACCAGAGCCGGCCACTGTCCAACTTTTAGAAGCAATGTAAGTTCTGGGGCAGAGCATACTCCTGCTGCATCATGCACTATGACTTGTCTGCCCACGAACTAGCAGACTCTGGACATCAAGTGGTGGCAGCTTCCAGTACTGGAAAGGAGCCCCAGCTGTAAGAGACTAGGTGTGCAGTCACATGACCAGCTACCATAGGATACAAGAGCAGTGGCAGCCTTGGATGCTGGATAGGAACCTTGGTAGTACCATGTGACAGCTGTTATGGCACCTTCCCTTTGAAGAGTGGATTTTCCATGAGGACACATTTTATGTTAATGCTGTAATATTAGTGAATTTAAAAAATCAGTTCGGCCATACTGATTCTCACAGGAATTGAAATTTCTGCAGTGAAGGTATTTCTGACCTTCATAAAAAACACCCGTTGACCCATTTACATACACAGCTAGTATACGTACAAGTCTTTATAACAGCTTTCTATAACCTCTTAACAGCAGGATTTAGATTGGAAGACGAAATGGCAATATGGTAAGCCAAATCAGTCCAGACTTCTGTGAGTGTCCATACACTGAGCGAATTTCAGCCGGTTTTTAATGTACCAGCTAAAATTCACACAGTGTGTGGGGCTGTCAGCTCCCTTTCAGCCGGCATTCCTCGATCAGCTGATCGAAGGAGCCTCCTGGAAAATTTTCGACCGATCAGAGCTGGCAGCCAATGAGCTGCCCGCTCTGATCGGGTAACCTGTCAGAATACAATGTAAACAGCGCGATTCCTCAATCAACACGCTGTTTGTGCTGATGGAGGAATTGGGTCAATTTTTTTCACAGTAGAACGAAAAAAATTGATAGGTGTATGGCCAGCCTAACATTGAAAGCATGCTTACAGGCGGGAAAAGCATAGGGGTGATCTTATTAAGAGATGTGCATGAGGAATCAGAACTTGAAACAATTTTCTCCCACAGTCACCCATCCAATGAGTGAGAACCACCATGATTACAAGGGAAAGATTTTTGGACTATGCACACAGAGGATGCAGGTTGCTTCAAGAGAAAGGAAGGATGTATATGTAGACCATGTAGACCTTATGACAGAGATCCAGAGATCATCATTTTTACTTCAAGCCACACTTTAAATATGCTTAAAAAAAAAAAAGAAGCAAAGAAGTGTGTTTTTCCTGTGAGTTCCTCTTTAATTCCCATTTGAATGTGCTATTCATTTTCCATCCTGCAGAAAATCTAACCTCTGCTTCTCCTTCAGCCATAATAATCTTTTGTCCTCGGATGCTCAGAGCATTCAATTTAAGAGTATGGCTATTAATAGAGCTGTGTGCACCATTGCATATATTACAGGGGAGGTGATATTCGTTGGCGATGGAGCAGCAATGCCAAATGGGACTTCTGTACTGAGCCAAAGCCCAATCTCTACACATCCTGCCCAGAATGGGGACATTATGTAAAAATGTGCCAGGCGAGCGGCATGGGTGACTGAAAGTCTCGCAGGGAAATACATCACTCTGTCTCACCGAAGCTGTCAGCACTTTAAAAGTTTCATCAACAAACCTCAACCTACAAAACACAATGTCCTTAGCAGCAAAACTTTACTGGGTTCCTGGGTTGTTTTCAGCCACCAGCTGCTTTGGGCTCTGACAACTTCGCAAAAGACTAAGCAGACATATAAAAAGAAATATAAATAAAGTGACTACTTCCTGAAAGTATAATCACAAAGGGGGATTGCTCATTTTACTGACAAGTTTAAGGTCATGACTTCTCAGATTAAAAGAAATCAAAACATGTGTATCCCAAAAATGGCTACCAGGGTTCAGCTCATGACCACCCACATATACAGTTTACTGTTTTTACTAAAAGGCATAAAAGGAAAAGCCTATACAAGAATCTTTATGGCAGGATCAGCAGGGATTACTGTGATGAAAGCTGCAGATTTATAAAAAGGTTGAAAATGTATTTTAGAATGACATTAACATATTGAAACCTATATGAGATTTTAGTGATTGGGTTACACTTTAAAAGACTCCTACAAGAGGCATGCGTACTCTTACATGAATCGTGGTGTGCTTTAAGTATTTCTTCCAGATCTGCAATATGCTTTCTGTAATAAAGACGGGTCACTGCTGCTCTCTCTCCTCGTGCACAGTGACTGGTTGTGTCTTCACCCTCTCCTGTAGTTTTCAGCAGGTGGCCTGTATTGAGTGAACCTGCTGGTTCCCTATCACTGGCGGAACTACCAGGGTTGCAGCGGTCGCATGTGCGACCTGGCCCTGGTGTTCCACCACTTGAGGGGGCCCAGAAAGGATGAAAGCGCCAGGGATATTTTAAAAGTGCATTTTCATTTTTTTCTATTTGCCACAATAATCATTAGTGGCAGCCCTACACATCCCCATAGTTAGATCAGACGTGTGACATTGAAACTGTCACATGTTGGCTCGATGGATCAGAAAGTAAGCGAACACATACCGTCGCTCGCTCACTTCCCGATCATCTCCCTGCAGAGAGCGTTGACCGTCAGTCACTGCTCCCCACAGGGATTCCCCCCTCTCCGATCCTTCTACGCTGACTGGAGGAACGGATGGGGAGGGGGCGGGCATAGCTGGCTCTACCTCTAGATAGGAAGAGCCCGCTGTCAGTCAGCGGGGTGGATCTCGACAGTATTGCAAGGATCCGTCCTGGCTGCAGCACTCTCAGCATATAGCCCGTTATATACTGAGTTTTGGGTCACGGGAAGACATTAGTATATGTCCTCCTGTGACCCTAAAGAGAACTATGGAGGAAAAAGGTTACCCCACAGTTCTCCTTTAAGTATTTAAAAGATTTTGACTGAATAATTCCAATATCGGTCGGGAAGGAGTTAAGAATGTTATCAGTGGGCCATAGGATTTATATAGCGGAATATGGACAATGATCTGCGATATAAAATACATTCTTTTAGGAGGTGGCTGTTTGAGCGTGGGGGTTCCCCGCACCAGTGTGAAACTATTTTCATGACAGATCTGTAATTTTATGTATGTTATACAAATGTGTATGTTTTCCATTTTACTGTTTCCTAACTGTTGTAAAAATAAAAGTGTATTTTTGTATATAAAATTCAGAGTATTCCTGAGTTAAATTCCCCACTTTTCAGCCTTTTGAGGTAAAAAGGAGTGAGTGAGTGATGACACCCTAGGACAGAAAATTTGGTACCAATAGAATCACCAGGTGAACATTAAAGGAAAAAAGCCTGATAGGAAAAAAAATGCAGTCACCAGATCTTCGGACTGGAAGGCTGCAATATGACATTTATGTGCTTTGGATTAGATATATTTTATTGTACACGTTGCAGGTGGTAATATAAATACAATAAAGGCAACTGTATATAAGGGAAATCACACAGAAAAGCGTGTAGGTACCTGGCGAGACCCCAGAGAAACCAGCCTGGTTTCCTTTCCAAAGGGGCTTTTCTGAAGCTCGTGGACAAACTGGGAAAGCTGAGAGTGAGTTCGGCTGCAGTAATAGATCTGTATAGAATAGAAACAAAACATCAGCTCATCATAGTGCACTGCAGACACGTGACAACTTTGGGTTCAACCACTATTTACCTAGCCCATTCAAAACTAAAATCATTTTCCTGTGTCCCTCTGTGGACTCCATGAAGTCTTTAAAGTGACACTAAACTCAGGAGTTAAATCTTAAAAATACATCCAAGTCCCCTATTAACAAAAATGTATCTTATTTGTGTATCATTTGTTCTCGAATCATCTCTGAATCGGTGCCGACACTGTCTTTACTTCTGGAGGGTGGCTACTTTTGTCCCCTGTGTGTGTTGTAAAGTAGTCACCGCTCCAAATTCACTCCTGTGATGGACTACAATCTCAATACAAATTAGTAAGCTAAATGAGAGATTGTAGTCCATTACGGCCTTGTTCACACCGAAAGCGTGTGCGTTCCAGAGCGGTAGCTGCTGTAACGCACCGCGAACGCTGTGAAACTTCCCCCCGCGTTTTGGGGTGGGAGGGGGCGTGGCGGTGCATTGTATTCAATGGCAACGCTTCCACGCAACACACGCCCCCCCCCGCAGTGCGATCGAACGCGTGGCAAAACTTTGAAAGCGTTGCGTTCCACTGCAAACGCAAAAAATCGGGCTTGCCCTATTTTTTTGCGTTTGCAGTTAAACAGAACGCTGGCAAAGTTTTGCCACGTGGTCGATCACACTGCGGGCGGGGGGGGCGTGGAAGCGGTGCCATTGAATACAATGCACCGCCACGCCCCCGCCTGCCCCAAAACGCGGGAGGAAGTTTCACAGCGATCGCGGTGCGTTTCAGCAGCTACCGCTCTGGAACGCACCCGCTTTCGGTGTGAACAAGCCCTACAAGAGGTGGCTACTTTACAACACACACAGGGACCATGGAGAACAAAAGTAGCCCCCTCCAGAAGGAAGGACAGTGTCAGCACGAATTCGGAGAGGATTTGAGGATCTACAGGCCAGTGATACACAAATAAGATACATTTTTGTTAATAGTTAAAGGTACTTGAATGCATTGTTAAGGTTTAACTCCTGAGTTTAGGGTCACTTCAAACTAAGGGTTATACTGCTGCTGACAGGACTGGACACCCCTCCTACTACCAGCATGTCTCAGGTTTGCAGCAAAGCAGTACCAGAAGCATGATCATAAACCCAGAGATTGGTGAATAGTACAGCGCTATGAGTCTCCCGTTATTTTAATTAATAAAGATTGTGTGAACTAAAAAATGTGTGTCAATCTCTACACCCTAATTCAATTATATAAATAAATTAAATAAATCAGAATTGTGTAACCATCTTCATTTATCCAGTGTGTCAGTGAGTAAAAATATATGTGAAATTTTGCACAGAAAATGTAAATATAAATGACTCTTCAAACCTAAGTTAATAAAATGTTATTATTACTATTTTTAGCTGTGTGTGTGAACTTTATCTATAAACATATGAATCCGCCTATCATCATCTATATAGTGCAATCAATGTGAACTTTATCTATAAACATATGACTCCGCCTATCATCATCTATATACTGCAATCAAATAAGTGATATCAAAGTGTTAAAACACAAATCAAGTGGAAAACAGATCAAGTGGAAAACAAATCCTAAGTGATAAATAATGTCCAAAAGTGTCCTATTTCTGGGGAGACATGCTTTAAACTGACGGGAAACCAGATGGATATGTCCCTGTTGACGGTATCCAGGAGAGTGGTTTGTCAGAAGAGAAGTAGACCCCCGTAGGGGAGACACTCACCAGATGTCGGAGAACTCACAGCCGTCTCTTTCACCAGGATGGAGAGAGGGATTAGTACTCACTCCGTCTTTCCGTAAGGTGTTACGGTCTCCTTTCAATCCTGGGATATACAAAGAACGGCCGTTGCTCCAATCGTGAAATTCTTGTGTAGCTTCCAGAAGTTATTCCGGTCTCAGAAGAAGTGCCGATGCCGAAGTACCGAAAGCCGTCCTGGCCGTGGGAGAATTCCCTGTGTTGCTTCCGGGAGTCTATCTCGGTTTTTTGTCTCATAAACTGAGACGTTGTCAAGGTATGGTATACCTTGACAACGTCTGGTGACGAAACGCGTCGGGAGGCGGGCCTGGTTTTTTTTACAGCACATCCACAGTCTAACGATTACCCACATTTGTCTTACAGCAGACTAGCTAGCATCTGCTTTGTTGTTGTTTTTTATGTGTAACGCTATGTGTAGCGGTTATATGACTCAATAAATCCCAATTTTAATACACGATGAGCCTCTGCTCTGCCCTTTCTTCTTATCTCTCCCGGATCTAAGTGCTCATTTTATGAGACAAAAAACCGAGATAGACTCCCGGAAGCAACACAGGGAATTCTCCCACGGCCAGGACGGCTTTCGGTACTTACGATCAGCTTCTCTCTTCAGTTAAGATTTGAAAATGAAAGAGAGATGCTGATTGGTTGCCATGCACAGCTGCTCCAGATTCTGTCTGCCCCAGTTTTGATAGACAGAGAAGAGGAGGCAGCCAAACCCAACAGAGCTAATGAAGACTGACGATGGCACAGACTCTGTAAGTACAGGCCAACATGATTCCAAGCAGACAAAGGTACTAACAATTCCTGAATGGAATTGGTGTCTAAGTGGTATATCTAAAGGGGGCAAGATGCTGGAATGTTTATGACTCTGGTATTGTTATTATTTTGTTTTGGATAGACTAGAAAGTGGTTAAAAACCCTGTTAGTGTTCTTATTATTATGTTTTATTGTTTTTTGCTGTCTTGTGGACAGAACAGGAAATGAGACATCCCCTCATATACAACTGTCACCATTGGAAGATTTCCCAACTATTCCTGTTTTGGTGATGACTCAAAATTTTGGATCTCATTCAGCAATTACCTAACAGAGATTCTAATCTAATCCCAGTAAAAAAAAAAAAAAAGATTTCTCACTGTCTATTTTCTTGTACGCAACAATCAGTTTGTTTTTACTGTTCTATTGTCACGAGGCTTCCTCTGTGATTAGTTATTTATATCACAGACAAGCTCATTTTAGAGCTTGTCTGGGATATGACTTGGCTCTGCTGTGCTTTTCATGCTATTCAAAATGCAAAGGTGCACAATGTGGTAGCACGCAGCCAGATCTCATTGTTCAGTGTTCTGACACTAAATATATTGTGTTGCTTTGGGTTTCAGCACTCTCTACATTCGCTTTCCTCTCTGCATGGCCTTACCAAATTGACTCAGATAGTTCTTGTTTAGCATACCAAATACGTCAGACGGGGCCTTTCTAAGGTAATCACCCAGACTGCAAGGAAAACACCCAGAATGAAAGGAAGGACTTTACAGTCTAGCTATTTGTAATATACACGTGGCCTGTCTGACATTTATGTGGCTTGAGGCCCAATGTAATCAGTGATTGGTTACTAACCTTGGTTACATGCTCTTCTTCCAAATCATCTTCCTCATCAAGCCTGTAAGCACACAAAGAAAAACATACATAAGTATAAAAAAATAAAAATAAAGCAAAAACATTCATCAATATGTATCAAGACAACAGTTCCCTATGTCACAAAAAGAAAAAGTGCAGATGATCACACAGTTTAAATGATTTAAGGACAACCTCCCCAGGATAGAAATATACAATTACTGGACTGTAAAACGTATGTATGATTTACCCATTTATAACCTCCCTTCAACAACCCCATCCTCCCAGCACCAATACTGACCTTTCTTTAGCTCCACCACTGCTCAGGTGAGTGTCAGGAGCTGAAGGGAATACCCGCTACTTACGGGTTTAGAGGAGCATGCGACTCATCCAGGTTACCCAGTTGGACTAATCACAGTGGAGTTCTACATGTAACTTGCAAATCCAATGACTTGTAGCTGTTCTGTAACTCTAAAGCAGCTGAAGTGAATGTCAGGGGAGTGGAAGTCTATGCTGCTGGGATTGTCAGCATGAACGTTACCCTGCTGGTTTGTACTGCAAGGGCAAAACATAGACTCACTTTAAGGGGTGCAACGCACTGGCTGGCAGGATTGTGGATGGTGTATACATGTCACTTAAGCTTCTCACATACACCTGGCGAGGGGGCCCAGGGTTTATTGATGATGTGGATAAAACAAATGCTTTGTTTTCTTGGAATCATAAGTCTGTTATGCATCCTGGAGCCCAGTGGCTTTTAGAGTTTTTAGTGGGATGAAGCCTTAATTCCTGCGTCCACATCATACTTAGTAGCCAGAGCTCATTATTAGTCTTGGCTATCCACTGTCCTTTATATATGTCAGCTGACTGATTTTCAAGGCTCTCTCTCTGCTGTGGATCCTGCTGCTGCGAGAAAAGGCTGAATGCTGACATAAAAGGAAAAAGGTACCAGTGCTGACTGTGTGTGTAAAAATCAACTTTTGTTGAGCCGGGTGATGCCGGAAGGGCCACCCGCAGGAAGCAGATAAAATTCGATCTGTTTATGGCTAGCATTTAGAGTGGGGTCACCTTTCCCCTCCCATCCTGCTGACTGGACAATGAGGGCTTGTTCAAACACGGAATGCGGTGCGTTCCAGAGCGGTAGCTGCTGTAACGCATCACGATCCCTCACACAACCTCACCCTGCGTTCTAGGGCGTGGCGGTGCATTGAATTCAATGGCACCGCTTCCATGCACCCCCCCCTGCAATGCGATCGAACGAGTGGCAAAACTTTGCCTGCATTCCGTTCCACTGCAAACATGTCAGCATGTGCATTCAGCAGAGCCTAACTCTCCTAGTGCTCCCCTACCTTTCTTAGTAAGAGTGGGGTTGTGCAAACAATGGCAGATACTGATGACAGAAATTGAAGTACTCATGCTAGCTGTATGTAATTACTTTCAAAAGAATAAAAACTGAATTCACTGGCATTCTTTAGATCAGCCTGAAGTTCAGTGTTAAATAGAACTTCATGTCTGCTTTGAGACCTACTTTGCGAACAAGAAACAATCGCTTTCGCCAAGCTTGTCTGTTGCGTCTCTGTGCCACAGATGGCCGACCCTGGAGCTGACAGCATGTCACCAGAAAAAATGTCACCCACTTGAAAGGTAAATGTTTATCTGTTTGCAATCGAAGGGAGCCAAAGCCTCATTAAAAGCTAAAAGCCGGGTAAGCTGTGTCAATAGAGATATGTCAGCCAGGCGTTTTAAACCTGCAAATCAAAAACATTCTACGGCCATGCATGTTCTGTCACAAGAAGTGACAAGCAAGTCAGACCGAATACACATCTCACTTCAAAGGGAACGGTGTGTCAGCTCCATTGAACAGTACATACTGGGTGCCACATTCTGGCTTCAAGACAACAGGCCTTGCTGGCAAAACTAAAACAGTAAATAGAAGAAAAAACAGACTTGATATCTTTTCAATAACGCTATTAATCCTGACCTGTCATACTGTCATACTGAGTAAGCTGTCATTTTGATTGATTGTAAAGCAATTCATTACTTGTGTACCGAACACTGATTACTCATCATAAAATCATTTCTGTACAAGAATAGTGGAATGGCATCTGAATGAGGTATGCTTAAAGAGAACCAGTTACAGTTTGGATTATGAAAGACTTGTATGTACCCAAAATCAGATTCATATTTTCTTGTTTAATAGTGTGTTAGTGTAACACTTCTAGGTTTCCAGGCTATTTATTACCTCTTAAAGCTGACTTCAGACAAAAAATACAAATGAAAGCAGCTCTGTATTCATTAATACATTATTAAAGCCAAACTCTGGGAAGACAAAAAAAACCTTGCTGTGGGCCCCCATGCAAAGATTAAATACTTACTAGGTCTAGAGGGTACAACATGAGGTGATATTATTTACCCCATTTGCTCCAGAGCTCTCCTCTATTACAGGAGAACTATGAGGCGAGTGATTAAATTAAAACGGTCACGTCAGCCCTATAGATCGGGAAGTGAGCAAATGCATACCGTCGCTCGCTCACTTCCCGATCAGCTCCCTGCAGAGAGCAGTGACTGTCAGTCACTGCTCCCCTCAGGGATTCCCCCCTGCTCTCCGATCCTCCTACGCTGACTGGAGGAACGGATGGGGAGGGGGCGGGCACAGCTGGCTCTGTCTCTAGATAGGCAGAGCCCGCTGTCAATCAGCCAGCTGGGTGGATCTTGACAGTATTGTTGTGATCCATCCTGGCTGCAGCACTCTCAGTATATAGTGGGCAATAGTTCGCTATATACTGAGCTTTGGGTCACAGGAGGAGGTTAGTATATGTCCTCCCGTGACCCTAAAGGGAACTATGGGATAAAAAGGTTACCCCATAGTTCACTTTTAACTCTGCATTGTACATGGAAGAGGCAAGCTTGTAACTGCAGCTGGGAGCGCCTTAGAGAGAAGGCTTCATGGGAACGATTGCACCGATAAAGGAAGCCTGCCAGAGTGAGAAGTAACGTGAATGTTACTCCTTTTCCTTGTTACCTTTGACTTAATGGAGAACCATGAGGTGAGTGCTTTTCACTCACCTCATAGTTCTAGCCGACCTGTGACAATGAGACTGTCACAGGTCGGCTCAGTAGATCGGGAAGTGAGCTAACACATTCCGGCGTTCGCTCACTTCTCGATCCTGTCACGGCTCTCTGCCGTGACAGGGGAGGGGCTGGATTCCCCCCTCCCCACTCCGATCCGCCAGCGCTGACTGGCAGAACGGACGGGGGAGGGTACTGCCTATGTCCTCACGGGAGGACATAGGCAGAGCCAGCTGTCACTCACGCAGCTGGGCGGATCCAGACATAATTGTCGGGATCCGCTTCAGCTGCGGCATCTCAGTATACCGCGAGCTGTAGCTTGCAGTATACTGAGCTTAGGGTGACGGGAGGGCGCTAGTTTGTGTCCTCCCGTTACCCTAAGGAGAACTATGTGGAAAAGCCCTGACCCCATAGTTCTCTTTTAACAGACAGTTAACCCTTGTAGAATGGGGAACCCTCTGCAAGGGTTTTTTGTCTTGTGGCTAGAGATGGGCTTTAAATGTATTTATTTTTTCCATAAGCAATTGTAAGCAGAGCTCAAACTGGAGGAGGAAGAAGCACCACAGGAGCCAATCAGTTGTGCTGCAGAGCTCACATGCTGCCAAAAGACATGCTATTAGGAGAAAAGAACAGAGAGGCAATCCTATCAGTGTGCTCCTTCTCCTTTCAATGTCAAAATTAAAGGCCTGGGAGGGACAAGAACTATAAGTGTTTCAGAAAAAATATAGGTCTCCTGCTCTGCCAGGCGAATATGTATTTCATCTGCGTATTTATCTGTTTGCCTAAAGATCGGCTTTTAACCTCACCGTACATCTGGCAATCTATTCACAATCTCCTTTAGCTCCTACACCTAGACCCATTTCATTTACATCCAATAAGGAAGCCCCTGCACTACACAGTTGTTGGTCGACCTAAATGAGTTTAAAGTTAGATTTCTGTGGGAAACTTCAGAGATCACAGTACTCCCCCTTACAATGCCTTCATCTGGTTGTCTCTCCTGAAGGACAGCCCTTGTTTAAGCTCATCATCCAGGGTCACCATAGCTCATCCTATGCAAAGAACTGCCATTAAGATTTTTATGAGCAAATTAAGGTCCAAGGAAAAACGTATCTATTATAATGTTTTAATGCATATATAATTGTACTATTTTGCTACTATTTGTGTCCTGTAATTATAGGTGATAACATATATTTTCATACTCTGCTTGCTTCTTTGTGTCCTCATCGCTCTCGTATTCAGCGAGAACTAGCTCTTCTTCCCCATGCTCCAAGTCCACGCCGTCTCCTCCTGAGAGCATCTGCCGACTGAGCTGCAAGAGGCGCATTGTCTCATCCTCCTCCTCTCTCTGGAGATACAAGAGAAGCAGCAGAAGATAAAAGCCTGCACACTCACATACAATATCCCGCAGGACCAGCAAAGCATCCCGGATGCATATTTTAACCGGGGAACTACTGCGGAGGAAAGAGAGCAGAGCTTGCATATTCATGGAGAACTGTATTTAAAGCAAAGATAAAAAAATTGACATTTAACAGACAAGACAAGCTTTAAGCTGCTAAAGCTGTAAAATGTGTAATCGTATGCCGACAGAAAAACGGTAGAGTAGATGTAAACCCCAACTGAATGACATTTAGTTTGGTCTGTGCACTAATATATAT